GGAAAAATTTTAAAAAAAAGGAAAAAAAATTTTTTTTTTTTTTATTTTGTATTTTTTTTTTTTAAATGTTTTTTTTTTTGGTTTTTTTCCTTTTTTAATTTTTTAAACCCTTTTTTTTTGGCTTTTTTTTCCCCCCCCCCCCCCCCCGGGGGGTTTGGGGGGGGGGGGGGGGGGGCCCGGGGTTTTTGGGGGGGGGGGTTGGCGGGGGGGTGGGGGGGGGGGGGGTTTTTTTTTTTGGGGGGGGGGGTTTTTTTTTTTTTGGGGGGGGGGGGGGTTTTTTTTTTTTTTTTTTTTTTTTTTTTTCCCCTTTTTTCCCTTTTTTTTTTTTTTTTTTTTTTTTTTTTTTTTTTTTTTTTTGGGGGGTTTTTTCCTTTTTCCCCCCCTTTTTTCCTTTTTTTTCCCAAAAACCCCCCCCTTTTCCCCCCCCCCCTTATTAGGTCTTTTTGGGTTTTGGTACCTCTTTTTAAAACACGGGCCTAAGGGTTTTTTTTAAATGTTTCCTTTTAAAAAAAAAAAATTTAAAAAAAATTTTTTCAAAACCCTTAAAAACAAAAAAAAATTAAAATTAGGGCAGTAACCCCGGAAAATTTCCCCAACACCCCACCCCCAAAACCCTTTTTTTAAAAAAACCCCCCCCAAAAACCCCTTTTTAAAAGACCCAAGAAATTCCCCAAGCTAAGGTTTCCCGGTTGGGGGAAATGGTGAAACCCGGGGAAAAACTTTAATGAATCCCAAGGGTAGGGAAGGGGAGGAACAAAAAACCCCCCCAAGTAAAGAAGACTAAACAGAGTTCCGCGGGAACAAAGCGAGATGGCCACAGTTTAGAGGACAAACTCGAACAGTGGGGTTGTTGAACAGAGAGCAGCAAGTAGAAAAGCGTCTCTACAGTCACTATTCGAATGAAGCAACAGCGCTAGCACGGGACATGACAATCGATGAATTTCGAGGCGGTCCTTCTTGGTGCTTTCGTTTTATGAAAAGACGTAATCTCTCCATCCGCACACGAACTACCGTCTCGCAGCAACTGCCAAAAAGATTACCAAGAAAAGCTGGTCACTTTCCGCGCATACTGCAAAAAATAAGATCACTAAAAGAAGATCCGGCCAGAGCACATCACCAACATGGACGAGGTTCCACTCACCTTTGATATTCCCGTGAACCGCACTGTGGAGAAAACGGGGACCAGTACGGTGTCCTGTACGTACCACAGGGAATGAGAAGTCCATCCTTCACTGTAGTTCTCTCGCCTGCCAGGCTAATGGCCAGAAACTTCCACCCATGATTATTTTCAAGAGGAAGACCTTGCCAAAAGAGAACTTTCCAGCCGGCGTCGTCATCAAAGCTAGCCCGAAGGGATGGATGGATGAGGAAAAGATGAGTGAGTGGCTGAGAGAAATTTACGTCAAGAGACCGGGTGGCTTTTTCCACACAGCTCCGTCCCTATTGATCTACGACTCAATGCGCGCCCATATCACCGATGCTGTCAAAAAACAAGTGAAGCAAACTAATTCGGAGCTTGCCGTCATTCCGGGTGGATTAACTAAAGAACTCCAGCCGCTAGATATTGGTGTCAACAGGGCGTTTCAAAGCTAGACTGCGAGCTGCGTGGGAGCAGTGGATGACAGAAGGCGAACACACGTTCACCAAGACGGGGAGACAGCGCCGGGCGACTTACGCCACTATCTGCCAATGGATCGTGGATGCCTGGGCTGATATATCGGTCTCAACTGTGGTCAAAGCTTTCACGAAGGCAGGAATAATATCTGAACTGCCAGGCAACAGCAGCGACACTGACTCGGATAATGACGAGAGGGAGCCGGGCAGGTTGGATGCCGTAGTCGCCCAACTGTTCAATTCGGACACTGAAGAAGAAGAATTCGAGGGGTTCGTGGATGGGGAATGAACTGAAAAAGTGAGCTTTACGTGTTATATGTAACTGAACAATGTTGAGTTATGCACTAACGTTTGATTTAGTGGTATCAGACTGTTTCTTTTACTACGTGTTTACTGAATCAGGGAAAGGTTCCCCTCCACGTTTGGGAGAAGAGTGAGCAAGGCTGGGAGATATTGTTAATATGCACATTAACGTTTGAACAACATTACCATGGGAGTGAACGGAGTTGTCAGAACGCTTAATAAAGTTTGACTTTATCTGACTGTTTTGTTGACATTCCTTTTAGCACAGCTCCATCTAGTGGATGCATAACGCAACCCCAGTCAATTCGTTTGACTACAGTATCTTCTATTCTATGCGCCTTATAATCCGGTGCGCCCTATATATGAAAACAGTTCTAAAATAGGCCATTCATTGAAGGTGCGCCTTATAATCCGGTGCGCCTTATAGTGCGGAAAATACGGTACTTAAACTCTTTAACATCATCCTCAGATCTGGCATATTCCCCAATATTTGGAACCAAGGACTGATCACCCCAATCCACAAAAGTGGAGACAAATTTGACCCCAATAACTACCGTGGGATATGCGTCAACAGCAACCTTGGGAAAATCCTCTGCATTATCATTAACAGCAGACTAGTTCATTTCCTCAGTGAAAACAATGTACTGAGCAAATGTCAAATTGGCTTTTTACCAAATTACCGTACAACAGACCACGTATTCACCCTGCACACCCTAATTGACAATCAAACAAAACAAAACAAAGGCAAAGTCTTCTCATGCTTTGTTGATTTCAAAAAAGCTTTTGACTCAATTTGGCATGAGGGCCTGCTATACAAATTGATGGAAAGTGGTGTTGGGGGAAAAAAATTAGACATTATAAAATCCATGTACACAAACAACAAGTGTGCAGTTAAAATTGGCAAAAATCACACACATTTCTTTCCACAGGGCCGGGGGGTGAGACAGGGATGCAGTTTAAGCCCCACCCTCTTTAACATATATATCAACGAATTGGCGAGGGCACTAGAACAGTCTGCAGCACCCGGCCTCACCCTACTTGAATCTGAAGTCAAATGTCTGCTGTTTGCTGATGATCTGGTGCTTCTGTCACCAACCAAGGAGGGCCTACAGCAGCACCTAGATCTTCTGCACAGATTCTGTCAGACCTGGGCCCTTACAATAAATCTCAGTAAGACAAAAATAATGGTATTCCAAAAAAGGTCCAGTTGCCAGGACCACGAATACAAATTCCATCTAGACACCGTTGCCCTAGAGCACACAAAAAACGATACCTACCTCGGCCTAAACATCAGCGCCACAGGTAACTTACACAAAGCTGTGAACGATCTGAGAGACAAGGCAAGAAGGGCCTTCTATGCCATCAAAAGGAACATAAAATTCGACATACCAATTAGGATCTGGCAAAAAATACTTGAATCAGTTATAGAACCCATTGCCCTTCGTGGTTGTGAGGTCTGGGGTCCACTCACCAACCAAGAATTCACAAAATGGGGCAAGCACCAAATTGAGACTCCATGCAGAATTCTGCAAAAAATATCCTCTGTGTAAAACACCAAATAATGCATGCAGAGCAGAATTAGGCCGATACCCGCTAATTATCAAAATCCAGAAAAGAGCTGTTAAATTCTACAACCACCTAAATGGAAGCGATTCCCAAACCTTCCATAACAAAGCCACCACCTACAGAGAGATGAACCTGGAGAAAAGCCCCCTAAGCAAGCTGGTTCTGGGGCTCTGTTCACAAACACAAACAGACCCCACAGAGCCCCAGGACAGCAACACAATTAGACCCAACCAAATCATGAGAAAACAAAAAGATAATTACTTGACACATTGGAAAGAATTTACAAAAAACAGAGCAAAACTAGAATGCTATTTGGCCCTAAACAGAGAGGACACAGTGGCAGAATACCTGACCACTGTGACTGACCGAAAATTAAGGAAATCTTTGACTATGTACAGACTCAGTGAGCATAGCCTTTTATTGTGGAAGGTCGCAGTAGGCAGACCTGGCTCTCAAGAGAAGACAGGCTATGAACACTGCCCACAAAATGAGGTGGAAACTGAGCTGCACTTCCTAACCTCCTGCCAAATGTATGACCATATTAGAGACACATATTTCCCTCAGATTACACAGATCGACAAAGAATTAGAAAACAAATTCAATTTTGATAAACTCCCTTATCTACTGGGTGAAAAACCACAGTGTGCCATCACAGCAGCACGATTTGTGACCTGTTGCCACAAGAAAAGGACAACCAGTGAAGCACAAACACCATTGTAAATACAACCCATATTTATGTTTATTCATTGTGTACTTTAACTATTTGCACATTGTTCCAACACTGTATATAGACATAATATGACATTTGAAATGTCTTTATTATTTTTGGAACAATGTGCAAACAGTAATGTTTACTGTTCATTTTTTATTGTTTATTTCATTTTTGTTTATGATCTGTTTCACTTGCTTTGGCAATGTAAACATATGTTTCCCATGCCAATAAAGCCCCTTAAATTGAATTGAAATTGAATTGACAGAGAGAGGGGGGAGAGAGAGAGGGAGGAGAAGAGCGAGAGGGACAAGGAGAGGGAGAGCAGAGAGAGACAAGAGAGGAGAGTGGAGAGAGAGGGAACAGTAGGAGTATAGCGAGAGAGAGATGAGAAAGTAGCGTATATATCCACATGAGATGAGGAGTCCCAATTTATGCAGAGATGGATAGATTAGAGAGAGATAGAGATAGAGAGAGATAGTAGAAGAAAAGTATATGAGAGAGAGAGACAGAGAGACAGAGAGACAGAGAGAGAGAGAGACGGAGAGAGAGAGAGACGGAGAGAGAGGGAGACAGAGGGAGACAGAGAGGGAGAGAGAGGGAGAGAGAGACAGAGAGAGAGGGGATGGGGTTGACTTGTTCAGTTAGAGAAAAACTACAGCCTCATAAACACACTTTCACTGCATTGATCATTGTTGTTGGCCACCATACTTTCTCTTCTATGAGCAGTTGGCTATTTTGAAAATGTGAATAAGTACTAACAACTAAATATTCACACAAAGTGACGCTGATATAACTAGCAAGAAATATGAGGGTTTGTTTTGTGTATTTATGTATCTGTCACAATATTTGTGTAATCAGTGTTTTGCCAACCCCTCCTCCTCTCCCTTGGGAGAGAGGCTCAGGACGCTGAACTCAGCTTCTATATTCTATATTTATCTCAGTGGTTTAGTTGAACAGGTTGTGTAGCCTCAGGCCCTCTTCTCTCACTGCTCTCTCTGTTCTCAGGCCTAGTACTGCCTGGCGCCCCACATTTCAGCAGTGGTAGCACCTCTTATGACTTTACTCTGGGGTGGAGGTGGGGGGAGTGAGAGGGTTAAAATCATTCCCCCACGCAGGAGCCACAGCGGTGTACAAGATGACCCCTGACCCCGCAGGAAAGGAATATGGAAGCTCTTTCATCTCAGGTGGACAGTTGGAAAGTGGAAGATTAATTTCTGTTCTAGGTTAAGATTTGAGAGTTGCATGTGAAATTGTTTTCTCAGAGTCTTGCTACGTTTCTGCCAAATGACATGCTGACATCCATGTAGTTCTCTGTCAGGCGCTTTGGCACATCTATGATGACCTGTTATGTACTAGACTCACCATGCACATTTGCAATCTCAGTAGATTAGATTTTTGTCTGCACTGCAAACACTCAGCACTGACAATTGTCAGCATGGACAGTAGCTTACTGTGCCCCATGGGTAGGCAATGCTACCACATGATGAAATCATTATGCACGGGCTTATTGTTTCTAGACGTTCCCAGTGATTATACAGTACCATTTTGGAAATGGTTACCATGTCCATTCTCTGGGACGTAAAGCATTGAGTGCGGTACTTCGCTCTGCTTTGCTATGGCTATGTTGACCACTATGTTGACTACTATGTTGACCAATATGTTGACTACTATGTTGACCACTATGTTGACCACTATGTTGACCACTATGTTGACCACTACTATGTTGACCACTACTATGTTGACCACTATGTTGACCACTATGTTGACTACTATGTTGACCACTATGCTGACTACTATGTTGACCACTATGTTGACCACTATTTTGACTACTATGTTGACTACTATGTTGACTACTATGTTGACTACTATGTTGACCACTATGTTGACTACTATGTTGACCACTATGCTGACCACTATGTTGACCACTATGCTGACCACTATGTTGACCACTATGTTGACTACTATGTTGACTACTACCGGGGCGGGTGAGGCACTGAGCCTGATGGATCAGGGGAATGGGGGGGGGGGGACAAACAAAGACCAAGAACAAAGACCAAGAAAGGACATTAAAGCTGGACGCTGTTGTTGGTGAAACTGCCATGCCCATTTGGAATATTACAATAACAAAGAAGAAGCGTCATGAAGGCATCAGAGGAATATAGCGCGTGTAGCCCATACACGATACACGTCTCGAAGGACAGTAGGCTACACAGTATGATGCTATTAGTTGATAAATGACGGAAAACAATCTGCACGGTTTTACTGCAAAAACTCTGTGTGGGCAGGTTCTTAGAATGGGAAATTGTATATCATTCTAATGGAATGGAATGAAGGGGCGCAGCTAGTCACGGCAGAGATGGAGAGAGTATGGGGATGCTGGAAAGAAAGATGTTCCGTTGAGTTTCAGGAGGTTATCACATCAGATGGTGGGGTAGTTCTAAGTAGGGATTGATGGAAGTGTTGGTTACTACTTCACATTTTGGGGCCGATGAAGGTGGTGCGTTATTAGTCCTGAAATGAAATGGCATAGCAGAAACTAGTCTTGTTGTTAAGTTTTGAAGGGGGCTGGTCCTGGTGTAGATGCTAGGTGTTTGATGTAGGAAGCGTTAGTTATTGGATGTTAGGCATGTAATGCTTAAGACCGGCAGGTCAGGGGTCAGGGGTCATGGGGTGAGTGTAGTGTACGGCGTGTGATGCTGGCCAGGAATGTGCGTTGTGGTGCGGCTCCACAATAGGCCAGGACTCCCTGGGGCTGGTCAGTGGGAGGAGTGTCATCCCCCCTGCACACATCCTGCTGTGTGATGAGCTCAGCTGTTAGCTCCTCTTAACCACATCTATACACACACACACACACACACACACAATGGCTCTCACACACACACGCACACAATTGCTCACACACACACACTCTCTCTCACACACACACACACACACACGCACACAATTGCTCACACACACACACACACACACACACTCTCACACACCATTCGGACCTGTACTCTCCACAATCACCCGACCTCAACCCAATTGAGATGGTTTGGGATGAGTTGGAGTGCAGAGTGAAGGAAAAGCAGCCAACAAGTGCTCAGCATATGTGGGAACTCCTTCAAGACTGTTGGAAAAGCATTCCAGGTGTCAAGAGTGTGCAAAGCTGTCATCAAGGCAAAGGGAGCCTACTTTGAAGAATCTCAAATATAAAACATATTTTGATTTGTTTTAACACTTTTTTGGTTAGAACATGATTCCATATGTGTTATTTCATAGTGTTGATGTCTTCACTATTATTCTACAGTGTAGAAAGTAGTAAAAATAAAGAAAAACCCTTGAATGAGTAGGTGTGTTCAAACTTTTGACTGGTAGTGTGTGTGTGTGTGTATGTTTGTTGTTGCACACATGTCTGTGTAAGTGTGTACATTCATAGGTCATGTGACTAAAGCACAGCCAGGTGACCATGTGGTTAGTAGGAGCCAGATCCAGGGTGACCTTGGACTTGACCATGTGACTTAGCTGTGTGGGAGGAGAGGGGTCCTAGAGGCAGAAGAGGTGACAGAAAGACATGGTGCAACAGTGTTACTTCTGTGCTGTAAGAAATGGATGCATGCTTGACTTGACTGTAAGTTGCTTTGGATAAAAGCGTCTGCTTAATGGCATATATCATTATAATACGTCACTCAGAAATGAAACTTTATCCAGAAATGTAACTACAGTAGCCTATATCCCTCACAAACGGATTTCCATTTTTAAACTGACCAAATTAGACCAGTGTTGTTCTCATTTAAAGGTAGCTTAGCCAGGACTTTTACAGTAGTTTGAGGACTCTGTTGAATTAAGCAGCTGACAGGTAGCGAAGCAGCAGGTTCTAAGAAGCGCTAGTTTATGGCGGAAACACCCTGGGGGCTTAGTGTGATTCACTGTTTTCTTTAGGATTATGTGAGCCTTATCCAGTTTCATAACATGTACATGCATGTACACACACAATGCCTGCGTTGTGCCCCCCTACAGTTATTTATTTGAAGCCACACAACATATTTGACATTTTAGTCATTTAGCAGACGCTCTTATCCAGAGCGACTTACAGTTAGTGAGTGCATACATTTTATTTTAAAAAAAATTATACTGGCCCCCCCGTGGGAATCGAACCCACAACCCTGGCGTTGCAAGCGCCATGCTCTTCCAACTGAGCAACACGGGGCATGTAAAGTATATTCTATACATGATAACATGATGGCTAACGCTCAGTGGATAAGATATACATAGATGAATACTGTGATGACTGGAATGGCTGAATGACTCAACTACTGGAAATGAACAGTCTTAAACAGGCGTTCCTGTTAGTCACTTTTCAGTGTACCACCATGCCACATTGTCCTTTAGTGCCCCCTAGTGCCCAACTGGTATTTGGACTGGAACAATATCAGTCCATAGGCTCAGATTTGGGCCTGGATTCAAACCGTATCACAAAAGTATCGCGGAAGATCCACGTTATAGCTAGATTGAAATTGAAAGGCAATGTTCCCGTGTTCCGGAGACTGCATTCAGGGTAAACACTGCCTATGTCGTCAAAATTGGAAATGACCTTTAATTGTTTATGCGATACTTCTGCGATACTTCTGCGATACGGATTGAATCCAGCCCCTGGTCAGGAATATTCTTTATTGGCTCATTGGCTAAAATGTATTTGTGCCAAAATACATGAATACACTGAAATAAGAAAAAGAGGATTCACTAATGTCTTGCTTTTCTTTTGTTTACAGGGGACGAAAGATGCAGAGCAGCATTTCCTACTCAACCCCAACCATAGCTGTTGGGACTGGGTGAGAGAGAGAGAGAGAGAGAGAGAGAGAGAGAGAGAGAGAGAGAGAGACAGAGTGAGTGAAAAAAAGGAGCTCCACAGACAGAAGGACCAGTTCTCACATAGTAAACAAGTACACGGATACTTGTGTTTTTCAGCAGACATTGACAACAACAGCACTATCTGAGCCCCAGACCATAGCCCCCACTAAGCCCTACCCGGCCCCGCCCGGAGCCACGCCTTTCACTGCACCCCACCACTGCCCACGTAGAGCCTGGAAGGCAGGGGAGCCACGGCCGGGTTTTCATGGCAACAGCACCCTAGGGCTGCCATGGCAGCTGTTGCCGCCGATGCCCCACGCCATATTACCGCACTGACGCCGGAGGACGAGGAAGGAAGAGCCGCTGCCAAGCTGTACGGAGGTGCTACCCTGCCACGGACAGAGAGAGAGAGAGAACGAGAGAGGGAGAGAGAAGAGGAGAGAGAGAGAGAAAGAGTGAGGGAAGAGCGAGCAAGCGGCAACGAGTGTTTGGTGTGTGGGGCTTTGTTTGGTTCACAGGATAAGCTTCGGCTTCACGCCTTCAGTCACAAGGGAGAGAAACCCTTCCGCTGCTCCCAGCCACACTGCCCTAAGGCCTTCAGCTCTAAATATAAACTATTCAGGTAAAACAGCACTCCACCAAGAGTTTTTAAACTCTTAACACTTTAACAGTTCCTCTAAAACACTTTCACAGACTAACTTGTATCATACTGTACTCTCTCTCATTCCTTCTCTCTCTCTTTCTCTCCTTCCTTCTCTCTCTTTCTCTCTTTCTCTCCTTCCTTCCTTCCTTCTCTCTCTCTCTCTCTCTCTCTCTCTCTCTCTCTCTTCATTATCCAGGCATATGGCCACACACTCTCCACAGAAAACTCACCAGTGCTCATTCTGCGAGAAAATGTTTCACCGCAAAGATCACCTGAAGAACCACCTACAGACTCATGACCCCAACAAAGAGGCCTTCAAGTGTGAGGAGTGTGGCAAGCACTACAACACCAAGCTGGGCTACAAGCGTCACGTGGCCATGCATTCAGCCACGGCAGGGGACCTCACCTGTATGGTGTGCCTACAGAGCTACGAGAGTACCCCTGCCCTGCTGGAGCATCTCAAGAGCCACTCGGGCAAGTCCTCCGCAGGTGCCAAGGAGAAGAAGCACCCGTGTGACCACTGTGACCGCCGCTTCTACACACGGAAGGACGTGCGCCGCCACATGGTGGTCCACACCGGCAGAAAGGACTTCCTGTGTCAGTACTGCGCCCAGCGCTTCGGCAGGAAGGACCACCTGACGCGGCATGTGAAGAAGAGCCACTCTCAGGAGCTGCTAAAGATAGAGCCTCCGGACATGCTGGGCTCTGGCTCCTCCCCCTGCACTGTCAAAGAGGAGCTCAGCCCCATGATGTGCAGCATGGGTCCCAACAAGGACCCCCTGATGGCCAAGCCGTTCCCCAGCGGCACCTCCTTCCCCATGGGCATGTACAACCCCCACCACCTCCAGGCCATGTCCAACCCTGGGGTGGGTCACCACCATTCTCTGATGCCCGGCTCCCTGTCCGCTGCCATGGGGATGGGCTGCCACATAGAGCCCCCCCACCACCACCCCCACCCCCACCCCCCGCACCACCACCACCACCACCATCACCATCACCACCACATTCAACACTCCCCCCCGCTGCCCCACCTGCAGCAGTCCCAACAGCACCACCAGCCCCAACAGCACCAGCAGCCGCCGCCCAAGTATCAGCTGGGATCTACCTCATACCTGCTGGACAAGCCCCTCAAAGTGGAGATGGAGAGCTTTCTCATGGATCTGCAGAGTGGGCTGCCGGGCCCCCACTCATGCGATCATCATCATGCTGCTGCCTCGCCCCCCAAGGAGGGACTAGAGCACCCTCCAGGACTGGCAGACGAGCTGTGTGGGGACCCCCTCCTGTCCAAGAGCCCTGCGGTCATCGCTGACGCTCTGTGCGCTGCTAACATGGATTTCTCTCACCTGCTGGGCTACCTGCCCCTCAACCTGGCCCCCTACAACACCCCCATGAGCACAGCAGGGCTAGTCATGAGCTACACCTCGTCTACCCCCGCCTCCTCCTCCTCTTCTTCCTCATCCTCATCCTTGCATGCCGCCGAGCCCCACGCCGTTGCCACGGCTGCAGCCGCACCTCTTACCTCTTTGCAACCTCAACCTCAGGAGCAGCAGGGTTCCAGCGGGGGCGTGGGGGGTCTAGGGCCCCTGCGTCCCCTCCCGCCAGTGTTTACCTCCAGCCTCAGCACGACCACCCTGCCTCGCTTTCACCAGGCCTTCCAATGAGGGGCCACCAGGCCTGGCCCGGTCCCTACACCATCACCCTCAGCTCACTGTCTGGGCGCCCAAGGGCCAAGGGGCCTGCTGGCCGAAAGGGTTGTGATAAAAAAACAAAAACACATGAACACTTAGAAGCCTTAATTGAAGCGCACAAAAGCTTTTTGATTGAGCCTTAGAGGAAACTAAACCCTTTATTGAAACAAAAGGAAAAGATGATACAAGCTTTTATTTGGGCTTTCTATCCTTTAGTTATGATGTTTTAGCCCCGCTCTCTTTAACCTCTACCACCAACCTATCTCCCTCATCCATGATCCCCTCTCCCTTTATTCTGTAGTTAGTAGACAGTATCAGTAGGCCTGAAGGCATGGTACTGCTACTTTATAAAGTCATAATATTAAGAAAAAAATCTAAGATTAATTTTAGAGAAGATTATCTATTTTTTGTGATCCAGAAAGACTAGTTTGAAGTGGATGAAATATAATTTTCTTGCTTTTCCAAATGTGACTGAACGTGCTAGGTTATCTCTCCTATGAGTGTAAAGGTCTGAACCACCTGCCCAGAAACACACCCTGTCTGTCATCATCACCATCAGGGGGAAACGCACCCTGTCTGTCATCATCACCGTCAGGGGGAAACGCACCCTGTCTGTCATCATCACCGTCAGGGGGAAACGCACCCTGTCTGTCATCATCACCGTCAGGGGGAAACACACCCTGTCTGTCATCATCACCGTCAGGGGGAAACGCACCCTGTCTGTCATCATCACCGTCAGGGGGAAACGCACCCTGTCTGTCATCATCACCGTCAGGGGGAAACGCACCCTGTCTGTCATCATCACCGTCAGGGGGAAACGCACCCTGTCTGTCACCGTCAGGGGGAAACGCACCCTGTCTGTCATCATCATCGTCAGGGGAAACGCACCCTGACTGTCATCATCATCGTCAGGGGGAAACGCACCCTGTCTGTCATCATCATCGTCAGGGGGAAACGCACCCTGTCTGTCATCATCGTCAGGGGGAAACGCACCCTGTCTGTCATCATCACCGTCAGGGGGAAACGCACCCTGTCTGTCATCATCACCGTCAGGGGGAAACGCACCCTGTCTGTCATCATCACCGTCAGGGGGAAACGCACCCTGTCTGTCATCATCACCGTCAGGGGGAAACGCACCCTGTCTGTCATCATCATCGTCAGGGGGAAACGCACCCTGTCTGTCATCATCACCGTCAGGGGGAAACGCACCCTGTCTGTCATCATCACCGTCAGGGGGAAACGCACCCTGTCTGTCATCATCACCGTCAGGGGGAAACGCACCCTGTCTGTCATCAGCACCGTCAGGGGGAAACGCACCCTGTCTGTCATCATCACCGTCAGGGGGAAACTCACCCTGTCTGTCATCATCATCGTCAGGGGGAAACGCACCCTGTCTGTCATCATCACCGTCAGGGGGAAACGCACCCTGTCTGTCATCATCACCGTCAGGGGGAAACGCACCCTGTCTGTCATCATCATCGTCAGGGGGAAAGATTAATGAAGGAATGAAGTGATAATGCCCCGCCCACATTACCCTCCTCCAATAGGCTACAACCACACTAAAAATATCTCAGTCTAGAGAAAGACTCGAACAACTGATTAATGTTATGACTCATAGAGGCAAATCAGTTGTCCAGAAAGTATAAAACAGAGAGTTGATTAACATTGATAACCAACGCTGCCAAACACAGCGACCAGTGGCGCCCTCATATTTAATGAAAAGGATACAGGTATGTGAAAATATCTGAGTTGGTAGAAAACATGCCAAGTAATGCTGGTTTTATGTTGTTTTTCTAGAGAAGCAATTTTTTTTTTGTAGAAGGCACTTCACCTTTAGGAATCTCTTTGGCTAACCGTCAGGTGATGATGACCTTATTTGGGAAAAACCCCACCCATAAAAGCTGCTCTTGAAAACAGGTAATTACCAATATTTGACTCATGAGGATTTTCCTTCCTTCAACTGTCTTCCTTCCAGCATTTGTTTTAAGAAGTCTCCATGGTAACACCACACATTACTGATCTGTATATTCTCTCTGTTTGAGATGCATGGTAATTATCACCCTGACATATGTGAATAGCAAACTAAAACAACAACGACGGCGTTGAGGGAAACGTGTAAGAGAATGTTATTGCAATGTACAAAATATCTCATCAAATATAAATGAATATTATAATTGCTTTTTATCTCAGTAAGGTGTATTTAGGTAGACATGTTAAAACAAAGTGATGATGTTTTTTTTTAATGTCTGGCAGGTTTAACATTTGTGTGTATCTGCCATTTTATTGATCAAAAAAGGATGAAGTATTAGCTTTGCCCTTTAGCTTTCTCCGCTGTATTCATTATTTACATCCTTTACTGGGTTAGCACAAACTTGGATTGTGGATTGACAAATGTGTAGTAGGCTGTTAGTGGAATAATAATTAATTAGCAGTTGCCATAGATATCTTTGATCGTCTCGTAGGAGTTTTAAAAAGAATGATCGACATTGATAGACTGTCCAGTTTCAATTTATTCTCTACTTTCTCAGTATGAAACCCAACCTTATTTCGCCCTAAGTAAGCTAAGCGATCCGATTTTAGATTCCTTTTCGTATTCACTAGCCTTTTGAAAACTTAAACCCAAAGTTATAAAACTATAATAGGTGCTCTTATTAATAGATAGATCAATAGATAGATTCTGCCTTGAGAGTACAGGGACTAAACTTTACAGTATGAATATCATCCTCTTGGTTTGCAACTGTCTCAAACCCCTTGACTTTTTTCTGTTTGAGTACTCAGCCCAGTCCACATGCGTCTATTAGTGAATACGTAGTTTCAAGTATAAGTCAAGTAGAAATAAATACAAAAATACAACATCATGAGGAAAATAAAACATATTGCTGCTTTTAGCTATGGTTGCCAGCAACTGTAGACCACTAGAACATTTCGACATTGCAAGATCTCAGCGGAGAAATGCACAGTAGTACCGATGAACTGTTTTCCCTTCCTCTCTGTAGTCCTCCTCACACAGCTGCTTCCTAGATTCAAGAGAAAAGGGTCTATCTAAAAAGGACACAATATCCAGCACAGACATGTCACCAGCCTGCTCTTTGACATTCAAAGCATGGGACACCTGACTGGGATATTTCTTTGTCGTTTTTTTGTTGTTGTCATATGCTATATTACTTCCTGTTTGTTAAAACAGGACCTCGAAACAACACAACACATCACCTCATTTTAATTTTTTTATTTTTCTTACCAAAACCTGGTGAGCGGAAACTAAATCTTGCACAATTGCTCATTAAAATAAATGTTGTATTATTTGGTTTAAAAAAATGTAAGTTATTATTCAAATTGACCAACCGATCAGAGACCACATTACCTCTTTAATTAGCTAATTAAACTGCCCTATAAAAGTAGATGACAAATCTATGAGAAATACATCAAACCTAAAATAAATGTTTGTTTGGTTGGTACAAATAGTGCCACTGACAACCAATACTTGTGAGGTAAAAAGTGCAGGTATGTTCAAGTTGACACTTACCAATCTATCCCTGGAAAACCATCAGCTAGGCTGATAAATTATCTAAATGATGAACATTTAATGATTGATCATGATAAATGTGATTCGTACCTGTTTCTTATAGCAGAAATTGGATATAAATATTGATATAATTGTAAAAAAGTTATGCCTAAAACATAGACTTTTTATATCAAGTATACATTTTTAAAAGACCATGGCTATATTCATTTCCAGCCAAAATTGTAGCACTCAAATTTAGCATTTATCTTTTTATTCATTTATTGATAGAAAAAGAAAAGAAAAAGCGATTGGCATTGAGTTTGTCCTCCCTGGGTTTCTGTGAGCTAATCTGAATTCTAGCACTTTCAACCTTTAAAAAAGAGTATTTTTTTTCTTTTAACATATAATCTTATATGTTGATATGTTTTTCATTTGTATTTGATCCTGTATATGTATGTGCCATTAGTTTGATGTGTAGATTTGATCAACCTTTGTGTATTTTTCTCCAAAAGTATAACAGTATTTTTGATAGACTTTTCACTAATACCTTCTTGCATGGGCCCCCAGTCCCCCCTGAGCCCCGTTGGGTCACCAGCATTGCCTTCTCGATTGAAATTGTATCTAACCAACAACAAAAATGTCTACAACCAAGTATTTGTAACAGAGATTTGTAATCCAATTGCCTCTCTCAGAGAACATGGTGAGCGTTACACATCATCGTCCCTATGACATCATCACATCCACAATCTGGAATAGAACAACTAGCAGATGGTTGAACAGCACATTATCTGGGGAACCCAGTTTTAAAGCACTTTTATTTTGCACCCCGTGTTCATAACAACTGACTGCTGCATGACTGAAAAGGGTCGTACTAGTGCCAAGGAGCTGTAGAATACATGTTGCTTCTAGACACAATAAGGCAGTCTGGAAATGAATAGTTTTACAACACGCTCTATGGACCACGCTGTGTCAAGACAGGGCTTTGCTACAGAGAAGGCAAGTCTTCCATCTGCCCTAGTTTACAGTAGACTTCACCCCACACATAACAGTAGAGACGATGGAAATGCTAATAATTCATTGGCGGAAGAAAACTGGATGACCTAATCATGAGTTCATCCCACTCGTTTTGGAGAGATGACTCCTCTAATCTCTGCTAAGGTACATCCTGAGAAGGCCTACCTCTGACAGTGGTGTTATGATTCAAAGCATCTGATAGGTCATTGGCATCGTTAATGAAAGGTTGTGGAAGTAATATCTCACCTTAAGTTTTGACTTGAGTGCGGAGCGGATGTTTTGCTACAATGCCTTGTAGGTTCATTACCTCGACTGCACCTACTAGGGATGCACTTGTCGACACCGTTCCTCTGTTAGTAGGTGCAGAACACAGAATTTAAGGGGATTATTTTATCCATTTTAAGTCAGAAAACCAATTGGATTTCATTAATGCTTCTTTATTTTTTTTCTAGTGAGAAACTGGGTACTGTCTGGAGAAGACAAAATCCCCATTAGTTTTATATATTTTCAGCTTAATGTAAGTCTTGCATTCTAAGCTCTTTGTGCATCTTGTTTAGCGACATAGACATGTATGTTTAGTACTTGCTCATTACAGCCACCTCTGGGGAAAAGGTGAACAAAACAAAAATGGAATATTTACATTCATCCTTACACTATTTTATATAGCATGGAGTTGATCAACTACAGGGAGAATTGTATAAGAATATTCTTCAGAGAAAAAAAAACGTAGCTTGTTTGTCACATATCTCACATGCAATCAGTTGCTGCAAAGTGACAGATTTGTGTATTGGTTGATCCAAAGAGATGACATAACAACACTCTTTACTCGTTGTACAGTACCATTGGATCTTTGACCTGTCGTGTACAGTACCATTGTATCTTTGACCTGTCGTGTACAGTACCATTGTATCTTTGACCTGTCATGTACAGTACCATTGTATCTTTGACCTGTCATGTGTTGTGTTGAAATGATTAAAAGACAAACCCACGGTTTCATACTTTGGTTGTAAGTTTTACTCCTTTGTCTTTTAAAAGGTTAGAACACAGAAAAGTGGAAATGGACTAAACAGACTCATGCTGAAAAAGGCAGTGCCTTCAGAAAGTATTCTCACCCCTTGACCTTTCCACATTTTGTTGTGTCACAGCCTGAATCGATACAATTTAGATTTTTTGTCACTGGCCTACACATAATATCCATAATGTAAAAGTGGAATTATATTTTTTTTAGAAATGTTTACAAATGAATTCAAAATTTAAATCATTATGTTACTTGTTAAGCAGATTTTTACTCCTGAACTTATTTAGGCTTGCTATAACAAAGGGGTTGAATACTTATTGACTCAAGACATTTCAGAGTTTCATTTTGAATTAATTTGTAAACATTTCTAAAAATATAATTCCACTTTGACACGTCACATAATAAGTTGCATGTGTGCAATAATAGTGTTTAACTTAATTTTTGAATGTATATTTATTATGGATGCCCATTAGCTGCTGCCAAGGCATGAATGATTTGTCCCAAATACAATGCTTTAATTTTTTGTAATATTTAGGACTAACTTATTCCTTGCCACCCATTCTGAAACTAACTGCAGCTCTTTGTTAAGTGTTGCAGTAGTAGCCTCATCTCTGTAACCCACACGCACAATTATCTGTAAGGATCCTCAGTCGAGCATTGAATTTCAAACACAGATTCAACCACAAAGACCTGTGAGGTTTTCCAATGCCTCACAAAGGGCACCTATTGGTAGATGGGTAAAAAATAAAAAAGCAGACATTGAATATGGTGAAGTTATTATTATTTATTATTTATTTACACTTATTACACGTTGGATGGTGCATCAACACCCAGTCACTACAAAGATATAGGCGTCCTAACTCAGATGCTGGAGAGGAAGAAAATCGCTCAGGGATTTCACCATGAGGCCAATGGTGACTTTAAAAGAGTTAAGAGTTTAATGGCTTTGATAGAAAGAAAACTGAGGATGGATCAACAACATTGTAGTTACTCCATAATACTAACCTAATTGAGAGTGAAAAGAAGGAAGCCTGTACCGAATAAAAATATTCCAAAACATGCATCCTGTTTGCAATAAGGCACTAAAGTAAAACTGCAAACATTGTGGCAAAGAAATTAACTTTATGTCCTGAATACAAAGTGTTATGTTTGGGGCAAATCCAACACATCACGTCACTGAGTACCACTCTTCATATTTTCAAGCATGGTGGTGACTGCATCATGTTATGGGTTTGCTTGTCACTGGCAAGGACTGGGGAGTCTTTTGGGATAAAAAGAAACGGGATAGAGGTAAGCACAGGCAAAATCCCAGAGGAAAACCTGGTTCAGTCTGCTTTCCAACAGACACTGGGAGACAAATTCACCTTTCAGCAGGACAATAACTTAAAACACAAGGCCAAATATACACTGGAGTTGCTTACCAAGATGACATTGAATGTTCCTGAGTGGCCTCGTTAGTTTTGACTTACATTGGCTTGAAAATCTGTGGCCAGACTTGAAAATGGCTGTCTAGCAATTATCTACAACCAACTTGACAGAAATGTAAGAATTTTTTAAAAAGAATTTTTTAAAGAATAATGTGCAAATATTGTACAATCCAGGTGTGCAAAGCTCTTAATAGACTTACCCAGAAAGGCTCACAGCTGTAATCACTGCCAAAGGCGCTTCTACAAGGTATTGACTCAGTGGTGTGAATACTTATGTAAATTAGATATTTCTGTATTTCATTTAATACATTTGCAAACATTTCTAAATACATGTTTTCAGTTTGTCATTATGGGGTATATAGTGAGGAAAAAATTATCAATTTTGAATTCAAGCTGTGACACAACAACATGTGGAAAAAGTAAAAGGGGTATGAATACTTTCTGAAGGCACTGTACATGGGGCGGCGCACAATTGGCCCAGCGTTGTCCAGGGTAGGGGAGGGAATGGCCGGCAGGGATGTAGCTCAGTTGATAGAGCATGGCGTTTGCAACGCCAGGGTTGTGGGTTCGATTCCCACGGGGGGCCAGTATAAAAAATAAATAAAAAATGTATTCACTAACTGTAAGTCGCTCTGGATAAGAGCGTCTGCTAAATGACTTACATGTAAATGTAAATTTCTAGAGAGCCCTACACCGCATTGCTCTACACAGATGATTTGACAGACTGGACACCGCTAAGGGTCTTGTTACTGGAGCTGAGCCGAGCCATTGGACACCGTAATTACAGTATGATGTCATACACTATGTCGTCATGCAGCTAGCCTATCCCTACGCTAATAGCAACACTAGCAAGTACACTTACAGGATACAGACTGTGCTATAACTCAAAAAAGAGAAACTCAAATATGGTTTTGATGCACAATGTGTAATCTGATACCAACCCTCAAGACACACAACCTAGAGACAACACAATGGCACTTCAGCAAGCATTACTCTGGCTTTATCTAGTGAATGAAAAATGAACACGCACAAAATCCCAACGTATCAGCACTTTAATTGTTTCATACATTATATAACTGGACATTCTGTAAAGAAAACGGGAAAAAAAAATAAAAAAAGTTCCTTAAAAACCATGCATTTGGCTAAAACAATGACATGATCTTTAAACATAAAGTCAAGAGCCCCAAAACAGGAAAACAACGCGTTGTATTTACATACATAGTAGACACTCATTCACACACACACACGCATACGCATACATACATACACAGCTCATGTCAATCAAAAGCACATCTGTAGAAAATCTCTCCTGGAATTTGTTTGTTGGGCCCGGGTGAGGAAGTCTGTCTGTGGAGCAGTGAGAGCTGTCAGCTCAGGAATACCGTCAGACATCAGCAGCAGAGGGAGGACAATACTGATGGGATACTGTGGAGGTGAACGTGAGCGAGATGCAGAGATAAAGAAACTTTAAAGGGAGAGGGGAGACAGGAAGAGAGAAGTATGATTTATTCAGTGGTTCACTGTACTATCATTCACCCAGAATGGAGTCATTCCCCCCTCAGCACCGCCCCCCCCTTCCTTCTTCCAGTGCGGCGCTATCCCAACACCCTCCGCTGTGGAAGATCACACCTCTACCGGACTGTCTGTCCACATATTAGTTTCTACGCGCTTGATCAACAAAAAAAACGGGTGAAGAAACTTGTGGGGTAATAATGTTGACCTGAAGGTTGTGTTCCTGAAAGCTCAGCCCTCAAATGTATTTAAACCTATTCCTGGCCTTAAAGGTCCATTGAGAAGTATTTTTTAGTGCAGGGCTAAGCTTCATCTGGGAAACTGGCCCATAGAATAACTTTTTTATAGCCTGCGTTTACACATGCAGCACAATTCTGATAAAACATTTTTACACTCATTTGTCTTTTGACCAATCAGATCATCTTAGATAAAAACAAAATTGGGCTGCCTGTGTAAACGCAGCCATTGAGTAAAATATGTCCAAGATAGAAAGGTCTTTAATGTTTTGAATCCCCACCAGGTCAGTGTTTCAACATACAGGATCTCCACCTTCAGGGAAACTCTGGGTAACAGAGCCGGTGTTTACACAGGCAGGCCAGTTCTGATCTTTTTCCACTAATTGGTATTTTGACGAATCAGATCAGCTCTTTTGCCAATAATTGGGGAAAAGATCAGAATTGGGCTGCCTGTGCAAAGACAGCCAGAGAGTAAACCCAGTGAAGGATCAGCCCATTCAGACAATATACTTTTCCTATCGACTGAATATAAACCACATTGTCAATCTTGTACAGCACTGACTTGGCCTGCTGTTTACGGGAAACACAACTGTACTCCATTTAGAGGTTGTTTATGGGAAACACAACTGTACTCCATTTAGATGCTCATTGACAGAACCCTGTGTTGCTAAGGCAATCCTAGTAGAGACATTGATGCTCAGGGATAACCGACACCGATAGATAACTTCTGTTAGAATAGCAGGTGTGTCTCATTGAACTAGGTGTTAAAATCAAAACATTATGAAACCAAAGATCATTCTCATCCTTTTCCAAAAAAAATGCATAGTTCAGTGAGACCGTGGAGCTGTTTACATTGGACACCATTACATTACAAGTCAAACATTTTAAACAAGTCGTGTTTCCTAGGCTAAAGCTCATAACTTATAAAGGTGATTTGAAGATAATGAGAAATACCACTTTTCATCCACATTTACTTTTGTTCCATTAACATTTCATATTTCAACCGCCTTAAGCCAACTTGGCTTCCCTAGCACATCAGATTAATTGATAATGGAAGTAGTATTTGCAGAGGAGAAATTGACTTTATACTTCTATACAACTCAGAAAATATGTTACCTCAATGTGAGAGAATTCTTTTCAAGGAGATACATTTAGATTATGATTTTAGTTGTGGTTGAAATGGTCACTTCAGGACATGGAAACCACAGTAAAAATAACAGAATATTGTAATATCCTTCCTTGTTCCAATGTTAGATTTCCATTTCCAAGCTAAACAAAATACTTAGTGCCATCACCACAGTGTGACCTCCCAACCATCTTTTGATCATCTGGAATAAAGACTTTAAACTAAAATAACCTTACCAACACACACACACACACACACACACTGAGAGACAGAGAGAGACTGACAGAGAGAGACAGAAAACGAGAGAGAAAGAGAGAGGTCAGACTAAAATATCTTACAGAGAACTGATATTAAAACGATAAAGTGAAGTTCTGAACCAATGCACTTCATTGAGTCCCCCTGGGCAACCCAGGCTTGTCCAACTCCAAAAGCAGACACTAAAACATACAGCGACTTTCAATTGACATGCTTTGGCCCACGTTGTGTCCAAGGTGAAACACAGTAGAAAAACATGGACTGTCCCAGAGGAACTCTGTCTCTGTGGACACCAATAACGGAGGGAGGGGGAGGGGGAGCGTTGAGCTAGCAGGCAGCGCCATCTTGCTGTTCTCTCCCCATGCCTGTGGGTGGCACTGTTCCACAAAACCCAATACACAGAAGTCAAGTGTTTGCTGGACATAAAGAAAACAAAAAAAATAAAATTAAAACGAACAAGAAAATGTGGCAACAAACAGCAGAAACAAACTCAGTCGATTTTGACGGCAGCGTAGATCTTCCGTATGAACATGTACGCTGCGTAGAAGCCGATTGTCCCCGTAAGGAGCCAGAAGGACAGGACCATGAGAGCCGTGTAACCAAAGTACAACAGGGAAGGGATAAACTCCACAATGTCCAGCTGGAAGACAGAAACACACGTTTAGACAGCTACCACCCCAGTCTAAGCATGCTAAACAACCTTATTCAAAACGTCCCATCTCGATACGTCTTCGACGTTTACCTTGTTGACAAAGTAGAAAACGGCGTAAACAAGGACGTAGAAGGCTGAGCCCCCTGAGACCAGGAAGGCCCTCCACCACCACCGGTAGTCCTGCAGGAGACACACTTTACACGTTGCCGTCATTGTAAATAAGAATTTTGTTCTTAACTGACTTGCCTAGTTAAATAAAAGGTTAAATAAAAAAGACAGAGACAGTTTGTGTGTCTGTGATGTCACAACTAGAGGGGCAGACCACCCATTATGCTACCAGACCTCCTGTCTTTTCTATCTGAACTACTGTGTTTGAGAACTTAATATTCACACACTCAATGCTTTTACTATGCAAAGCCCAATTTACACACCCACACAACTCACCTCTGCACAGAGCTGGAAGTAGACCATGACGATACTGATCTGGGAGCAGGACACCACCAGGATGATGAACACCAGGAAGAGGAAACCAAACAGGTAGTAGAACTGGTTCTCCCAGATGGCCTGCAGAGGGAGGACAGCTTACAGTCAGACAATACCCCCGTAGACTAGAGCCATGTACAGTCAGACAACATGGGTTAGACTCAGAACACACAGCAAATAACCTGGGTTAGACTCAGAACACACAGCAAATAACCTGGGTTAGACTCAGAACACACAGCAAATAACCTGGGTTAGACTCAGAACACACAGCAAATAACCTGGGTTAGACTCAGAACACACAGCAAATAACCTGGGTTAGACTCAGAACACACAGCAAATAACCTGGGTTAGACTCAGAACACACAGCAAATAACCTGGGTTAGACTCAGAACACATACAGCAGAGACAACATGGGTTAGACTCAGAACACACAGCAAATAACCTGGGTTAGACTCAGAACACATACAGCAGAGACAACATGGGTTAGACTCAGAACACACAGCAAATAACCTGGGTTAGACTCAGAACACACAGCAAATAACCTGGGTTAGACTCAGAACACACAGCAAATAACCTGGGTTAGACTCAGAACACATACAGCAGAGACAACATGGGTTAGACTCAGAACACACAGCAGAGACAACCTGGGTTAGACTCAGAACACATACAGCAGAGACAACCTGGGTTAGACTCAGAACACACAGCAAATAACCTGGGTTAGACTCAGAACACACAGCAAATAACCTGGGTTAGACTCAGAACACACAGCAAATAACCTGGGTTAGACTCAGAACACATACAGCAGAGACAACATGGGTTAGACTCAGAACACATACAGCAGAGACAACATGGGTTAGACTCAGAACACATACAGCAGAGACAACCTGGGTTAGACTCAGAACACATACAGCAGAAACAACATGGGTTAGACTCAGAACACATACATAAGAGACAACCTGGGTTAGACTCAGAACACATACAGCAGAGACAACCTGGGTTAGACTCAGAACACATACAGCAGAGACAACCTGGGTTAGACTCAGAACACATACAGCAGAGACAACCTGGGTTAGACTCAGAACACATACAGCAGAGACAACCTGGGTTAGACTCAGAACACATACAGCGGATCAGAGCCACGTACAGTGTGCAAACGTAGAAATGCCACGTATAGAGCTGATTTGATTGCTTATTCTACGTGATACAATTTTCTTCTTAGGTCAGAGGCATGTTAGATGTACATAATATATTTATATCTGAACTTTTCACAACATTGAAAACAGCCCAGGTAGCAGATCAGCAGTACTGTACAGGTGTAATGGGAATATTTAAAGACGACTAAGTTCATATTTGATCAACACAATGTTTAACATATTTGGAGTGTCTGTAACACACCATTTCCAGTGTTCCATTTGTGACACTCGAGGTGCGGGTTACGGATCGTTCTCATATCTGTTGATGGTGATTGACACCAGAGACTGGAGGTACAAGGACACACTGATTATTCACCGTTGTATTGATGACATTCTATGAACACTGTGCTATTCTGTAGCAGCTGGCAAAGTCACCGCCTTATAGGCTGGTGTTTGGAGAACATTTGCGGCTTTTTGATTAGGATATACACTAAAAATCGGTCAAAAGTTTTAGAACACCTACTCATTCAACGGTTTTTCTTTATTTTTACTATTACTTTACTGCAGGGGTACTGGAGTGGTTGTATGTACAGGTCAGTGTCAGTACCTTATTCAAGGTGCAGGGGTACTGGAGTTGTTGTATATACAGGTCAGTACCTTATTCAATGTGCAGGGGTACTGGAGTGGTTGAGGTGGGCTTATCCATAAAAAGTGACTTAGTAGTAAGATATACATTTATCTGAAAAGTGGTATATATAAATACTTATGGTAATATATACTGAACAAAAATATAAATGCAACATGTAAAGTGTTGTTCCCATGTTTCATGAGCTAAAATAAAAGAACCCCAAAATGTTCCATACTCACAAAAGGCTTATTTCTCTCAAATGTTGTGCACATATTTGTTTACATCCCTGTTAGTGAGCATTTCTCATTTGCCAAGATAATCCATCCACCTGACAGGTGTGGCATATCAATAAGATGATTAAACAGCATGATCATTACACAGGTGCACCTTGTGCTGGGGACTATAAAAGGCCTCTAACATGTGCAGTTTTGTCACACAACAATGCCACAGATGTCTCAAGTTGAGGGAGTGTGCAATTGGCATGCTGACTGCAGAAATTTCCACCAGAACTGATGCCAGAGAATTGAATGTTCATGGAGGTCATCCATTTTATTATCAAGTGACTGAATATTGTCTCAACAGTCTCAACAGGACGCCCGCTCTCCTGCCTTTTGTTTCGCCTGCGTTTCCTCTCGACTAGCCCAAAAGATTGGGTCAACGGTACACAAAGAACCCAGGGCAGATGAGTCGAAGCCGGAATTGAGGTTAGTAACTGCCGATCTGATGTTCAAAAGTTATTGTCGATCATAAGAATTGATAGGGGATACATTTAGTTTATAAAGCTAAACGGGTCGGAGCATACACCATACAGTACGGTGGCATATTTACATAATATAAACACACTGGATTGATTTCTGATTGACTTTACCAACGACTGCTCTCCTTTATGTTCACCTGGAAATTCAAACAGCCTATAGGAGAGGACTTCTACTCACACTGAAGATGAAGAAGAGCTCAATGAACATGGCACCAAACGGTAGAATCCCAGCCATCAGAATTCTTTGGAAAGGGAAAAGAGAAAATTTATTAAAACACTGTTAATCCAAATGCAGTGTATTACATTTACATTTACATTTTAGTCATTTAGCAGACGCTCTTATCCAGAGCGACTTACAGTTAGTGAATACATATTTTTTTTATACTGGCCCCCCGTGGGAATCGAACCCACAACCCTGGCGTTGCAAACGCCATGCTCTATCAACTGAGCTACATCCCTGCCGGCCATTCCCTCCCCTACCCTGGACGACGCTGGGCCAATTGTGCGCCGCCCATGAGTCTCCCGGTCGCGGCCGGCTGCGACAGAGCCTGGATTCGAACCAGGATCTAGTGGCACAGTTAGCACTGCGATGCAGTGCCTTAGACCACTGCGCCACTCAGGAGTCTTAATGACTGTGTTTAATCAACTTCTACGAGCGTATATGAGAGGACGTTACACACAAAAGACGAGTTATACACTGATTGCTCCAGAGCAGAGCAGTAGGCAGGCTTGACAGGACACTCACCCCACAAACTTGTTCATGTACCAGCGCTGCTCGGGCACCTGGCGAGGGATCTGATTGGTGCGGACAGGGTTATCGTACGGCTGCTTGCGGAAGCCAAAGTAGTAGCCCAGGTACACCAGGGGCATGGAGATACCGAACCACATGCAGAGTAGAGCCAGCATGGTGGTGAAGGGGACCTGAGGAGGGGGGGGGGTAGAAGACATCACTGATTGATATAGTCCATATACTGTGACATCTGTCCTTGTTCTGAGGGTGATAGACAATGTGTTGATGATATACAGTGGCTATGTGTACTCAGTATCACTGTGTTCAATTGTAACGCATGTGGATTTTTACATGTTTTCTATGTCTCATGTGCTCCTCTGGTGCAAAACCAATTGCCCTCTCTGGGTCAAATAAAGTTGAAACTTGAACTTGATACGCAGTGAGCCTATAGACAGTGAATGTGTGGATACGCAGTGAGCCTATAGACAGTGAATGTGTGGATACGCAGTGAGCCTATAGACAGTGAATGTGTTGATACGCAGTGAGCCTATAGACAGTGAATGTGTGGATACGCAGTGAGCCTATAGACAGTGAATGTGTTGATACGCAGTGAGCCTATAGACAGTGAATGTGTGGATACGCAGTGAGCCTATAGACAGTGAATGTGTGGATACGCAGTGAGCCTATAGACAGTGAATGTGTGGATACGCAGTGAGCCTATAGACAGTGAATGTGTGGATACGCAGTGAGCCTATAGACAGTGAATGTGTTGATACGCAGTGAGCCTATAGACAGTGAATGTGTGGATACGCAGTGAGCCTATAGACAGTGAATGTGTGGATACGCAGTGAGCCTATAGACAGTGAATGTGTGGATACGCAGTGAGCCTATAGACAGTGAATGTGTGGATACGCAGTGAGCCTATAGACAGTGAATGTGTTGCTATGCAGTGAGCCTATAGACAGTGAATGTGTTGATACGCAGTGAGCCTATAGACAGTGAATGTGTGGATACGCAGTGAGCCTATAGACAGTGAATGTGTGGATACGCAGTGAGCCTATAGACAGTGAATGTGTTGATACGCAGTGCGCCTAGAGACAGTGAATGTGTTGATACGCAGTGAGCCTATAGACAGTGAATGTGTGGATACGCAGTGAGCCTATAGACAGTGAATGTGTGGATACGCAGTGAGCCTATAGACAGTGAATGTGTGGATACGCAGTGAGCCTATAGACAGTGAATGTGTTGATACGCAGTGAGCCTATAGACAGTGAATGTGTTGATATGCAGTGAGCCTATAGACAGTGAATGTGTTGATATGCAGTGAGCCTATAGACAGTGAATGTGTGGATACGCAGTGAGCCTATAGACAGTGAATGTGTGGATATGCAGTGAGCCTATAGACAGTGATGTGTGGATACGCAGTGAGCCTATAGACAGTGATGTGTGGATACGCAGTGAGCCTATAGACAGTGAATGTGTTGATATGCAGTGAGCCTATAGACAGTGAATGTGTTGATATGCAGTGAGCCTATAGACAGTGAATGTGTGGATACGCAGTGAGCCTATAGACAGTGAATGTGTGGATATGCAGTGAGCCTATAGACAGTGAATGTGTTGATACGCAGTGCGCTTATAGACAGTGAATGTGTGGATACGCAGTGAGCCTATAGACAGTGATGTGTTGATACGCAGTGCGCTTATAGACAGTGAATGTGTGGATACGCAGTGAGCCTATAGACAGTGAATGTGTTGATATGCAGTGAGCCTATAGACAGTGAATGTGTTGATATGCAGTGAGCCTATAGACAGTGAATGTGTGGATACGCAGTGAGCCTATAGACAGTGAATGTGTGGATATGCAGTGAGCCTATAGACAGTGATGTGTGGATACGCAGTGAGCCTATAGACAGTGATGTGTGGATACGCAGTGAGCCTATAGACAGTGAATGTGTTGATATGCAGTGAGCCTATAGACAGTGAATGTGTGGATACGCAGTGAGCCTATAGACAGTGAATGTGTGGATATGCAGTGAGCCTATAGACAGTGAATGTGTTGATACGCAGTGCGCTTATAGACAGTGAATGTGTGGATACGCAGTGAGCCTATAGACAGTGATGTGTTGATACGCAGTGCGCTTATAGACAGTGAATGTGTGGATACGCAGTGAGCCTATAGACAGTGAATGTGTTGATATGCAGTGAGCCTATAGACAGTGATGTGTTGATATGCAGTGAGCCTATAGACAATAAATGTGTTGATATGCAGTGAGCCTATAGACAGTGAATGTGTGGATATGCAGTGAGCCTATAGACAGTGATGTGTGGATATGCAGTGAGCCTATAGACAGTGAATGTGTTGATATGCAGTGAGCCTATAGACAGTGAATGTGTTGATATGCAGTGAGCCTATAGACAGTGAATGTGTGGATATGCAGTGAGCCTATAGACAGTGAATATGTTGATATGCAGTGAGCCTATAGACAGTGAATGTGTGGATACGCAGTGAGCCTATAGACAGTGAATGTGTTGATACGCAGTGAGCCTATAGACCAGGGATCTTCAACTAGATTCAGCCGCGGGCCGATTTCTTCTTGATAGGATGGTCAGGGGGCCGGAACTTAATTACAAATCATTTGTATACTGCAAATTGACCGCAAGAAGCCCAAACAGATAACATTGAACTAAAACATAATTTAAAACCTTGCTTACATTTGTATACAATCACGTACACTGAGTGTACAAACATTAGGAACACCTTCCAAATATTGAGTTGCATCCCCCCCTTTTGCCTTCAGAACAGCCTAAATTCATCGAGGCATGGACTCTACAAGGTGTTGAAAGTGTTCCACAGGGATGCTGGCCCATGTTGACTCCAATGCTTCCTACAGTTGTATCAAGTTGGCTGGATGTCCTTTGGGTGGTGGACCATTCTTCACACACACACAGGAAATTGTTGAGCGTGAAAAACCCAGCAGCGTTGCAGTTCTTGACACACTCAATCTAGTGCGCCTGGCACCTACAACCATACCCCCTTCAAAGGGACTTAAAATATTTTGTCTTGCCCATTCACCCTCTGAATGGCACACATACACAATCCGTCTCAATTGTCTAAAGGCTTAAAAATCCTTCTTTAACCTGTCTCCTCTCCATCTACACTGATTGAAGTGGATTTAACAGGTGACATCAATAAGGGATCATAGCTTTCACCTGGATTCACCTGGTCAGTCTATGACATGAAAAGAGTTCTTAATGTTTTGTATAGTCAGTGTATATCTCTCTATTAAGCTTGGGAATACTTTGGAACATATTTCCAATATTTAAAAAATCACTAGCTGATTTGCTGGGGTTTTTTACAGTATTTTATGTCCAATAATTAAAAACGAAATCACCCGTGGGCCACCAGTTGAGGAACCCTGCTATAGATAGTGAATGTGTTGATGTTATTAGTCACCGACCGATATGGTATATTTGGGTCCGTTACCGATACCAATTTTAGGGAGGTAACAGATGACCGATATATCGTTTTCTAGAGGTGGAATGAAAAACATACCTTTTTTTACACAAATAATGAACAGATACTCTAAATGATGATTTCTTACCTAAATATTTAAATTAATATTAAATTTAAGAGCATTGTTGTTTACAGGATATCCACCAAAAAGCAACTATATCTTCTATAAATACGACAGTAAATACAAAACTTGTTTGGTTTACCTTGGGTGCAACTTGTCTATGTATGGCGTGTCTATGTATGGCGTGTCTATGTATGGCGTGTCTATGTATGGCGTGTCTATGTATGGCGTGTCTATGTATGGCGTGTCTATGTATGGCGTGTCTATGTATGGCGTGTCTATGCATGGCAGTGGATAAGAAGTATGCAAAAGTGTTTGTGCTAAACCACCACAAGGGATGGCAGGTTGAATCAATTAAACTTTTGTCTCAAAGTCAATCAGACTTCACAAGTTCACAGTACATCACTGGGGCCGAGCTTCCTGCCATCCAGGACCTCTATACCAGGCGGTGTCAGAGGGAAGGCCCTCAAAATTGCCAAAGACTCCAGCCACCCTAGTCATAGACTGTTCTCTCTGCTACCGCACGGCAAGCGGTACCGGCGCACCAAGTCTAGGTACAAAAGGCTTCTTAACAGCTTCTGGACTACAGGAAAAAAAAAGAGGACTGAGCACGCCCCCATTCTCATCGACGGGCTGTAGTGGAACTGGTTGAGAGCTTCAAGTTTCTTGGTGTCCACATCACCAACGAACTATCATGGTCCAAACACACCAAGACAGTCGTGAAGAGGGCACGACAAAGCCTACTCCCCCTCAGGGAGACTGAAAAGACTTGGCATGGGTCCTCAGATCCTCAAAACGTTCTACAGCTGCACCATCGAGAGCATCCTGACTGGTTGCATCACCGCCTGGTACGGCAACTGCTCGGCCTTCGACCGCAATGCACTACAGAGGGTAGTGCGTACGGCCCAGTACATCACCGGGGCCAAGCTTCCTGCCATCCAGGACCTCTATACCAGGCGGTGTCAGAGGAAGGCCCTAAAAATTGTCAAAGACTCCAGCCACCCTAGTCATAGACTGTTCTCTCTGCTACCGCACGGCAAGCGGTACCGGAGTGCCAAGTCTAGGTCCAAAAGACTTCTCAACAGCTTCTACCCCCAAGCCATAAGACTCCTGAACAGCTAATCATGGCTACCCGGACTATTTGCTCTTTTATTTTAACTTTAGTTTATTTAGTAAATATTTTCTTAACTCTTATTTTTCTTAAAACTGCAATGTTGGTTAAGGGCTTGTCAGTAAGCATTTCACGGTAAGGTCTACACCTGTTGTATTCGGCGCACGCGACAAATGAAATTTGATTTGACATTCCGTTCGTAATGTCACCACTAGGTTTCAGCGTTTGCCTTGAGTAGATCTACTACAGTGTTTACAACGGTCAAAGGTCATGTAAACAAACACTTTGTGGCAACCTGTGAAAAGCACAAGCTAGCTGTTCATTACGACAATGTTTTCCTCACAGAAACCATATGCACAGTACACTGTTATTCAATTTCAACTTCAACTGGCTGATGTGCCGACGACTGAAAACGCTTATGCAGGCAAATACTTAAGGCACTGGTTTAGCTAGCTAGCTAACGTTAGCTACTTATCTCATCATGAATGCAAGCACATGGCCTGAATGATCGATCTGCACCAAATGTTTTGTTTTTTTGCAGATTGCATACTTCGGAAAACTAACTACATAAGCTCACTAGCTAACATAAATGGGCCCAGACAGCAACGGTGTTATTTTTGTATCAAGGACGAGTGTTCACTTTGGCGACAGTCCACCGTTTACACATAAGTAGCACAGATTGCTAGCTAAGCTAGAAACTACCTTGCTGGCTAGACAACTAAGTTTACTACCTTGCTGGCTAGCTAGCCAGCTAAGGTTAATTAAGTGAGAATGTGATGACAGGGTTGCTTGCTTGGTGAAGTGTACTTTTGATTATTTACTTATTCAAATATATGCTGGCTGTGGCAAGCTACTAACCGTCAAATCACCATGCCTACTCTCTCAGGTTGTGACCTAGGGCTGAATGATGTTCAATGAGCAGCTCATTTAGCGGCTTCTTAAGGCAACCAATAATAAATCGGCCGATAGTATCGTCAACGGATTTATCAGTCGGGCTCTAGATGTTATACAGTAAGCCTATTGATAGTAAATGTGTTGATGTTGGGTTGCCAGGTCTAGCTAAAATGTCTAACCCAATTCCACTGGTACAGGTCTGATATACCATGGCTTTCAACCAATCAGCATTCACAGGGCTCAAACCACAGTAATTGTAAATAAATCCCGTTTGTGCATGTGCATAACTATAGATAAATCCGACAGGAGAGTTTGAGTGATGAAAGTTGGACAGAGGATCTCGAAATCTCTGTGCAAGAAACACTTGGACGAACTTAAAAAAAAAACGAATGTTAGGATATTTTCTGGTAATTATGCCGTTATTATGTGCCAGGTGTTAAGACTACAAACCGTTATAAATGGCCAGATGTTAAGACTGCAAACATTATAAATGGCCTATTTGCGAGATTGACTTCTTATTTCAATAGGCATAGGCTACTGACTAAAATCTGGAATTATAATTGCAATTCAACGTTGCCATGGTTTGCTGAGCTAGATGCAGGTATCCTATAGCCCCTGATAGGCCTACATCTAATTTCAGGGAAAAGTCCACAATGAAACTGACATTAAATGTGGGGAATTATACATTTGCGATAGAGCTGTGACAATGATCACAATTGATAACTTCCAATATAATTAACTTAAACATGGCCATTAACAATAGCATAATAACACAACGTTACAACAGACTGAGTTATAGGCTATTTATTCCATCTGTTTGCCAGCTCCAGGTAGGCTACGCAAGTGGCACAAATTGATTTGCATTGACTCCAGCGATATCGTCATTTCAACATACTGTTTTTTTACGTATCAAATGGTAGGCTACAGTTGCCTAAAATGGCATAGAAATTAATAGCCTACTTGGATGGCCAACAGACGCAAATGTAGCCTATCATTCTACACATTCAATGTCACTTTCATCGTGGACTTTTTCCCCCATAACACAAGCGCACGAGGGAGTTCCATAACTTCCATTTCAAAATGTCCACTCGCGCAGCACTCCAGATCCTAGAACTGAGCATGAGTAAAACCCTTCGCTTGATACGGTATATCCATGAGAAAAGTCGACATTAGAACGCAGTTTACTTTAAAACCACCTCTGAGCGAATGTATCTAAAGCGCTCTAGTGTGCCTAAAGTACTTTTCCAATGCTTTGTCGCCGTTATCAGTTCTAGCGCGTGAATATGTTTTATGGAAAAAGGCTGTCTAAATAATGATCGATCTAAATAGTCTACCTACAACTGGTAAAAAAGTGGTCACGACGTGCGCCGCGTGATGCTGTGTTTCCGTGACTCAGCTGCAGCACTCTCACACCCCCCCCTCCCCCTCCCACCCACCCCAGCACGCGGCCCGCCAGTTGCCCATCCCTGCTATAGATAGTGAATGTGTTGATGTGAGCCTATAAATAGTGAATGTGTTGATGTTGTTATACAGTGAGCATATAGACTGAATGTGTTGATATACAGAGATGTCCGTATGTAGGAGAATAGCTAGCTCACCGCTCCAGACGAGTGCTCTCCCCAGATGAAACAGTTGAGAACGAAGCAGATGCAGAACACCACGGCAGGGTACAGAGTGGCCGTCTGCAGGCAGAACAGAAACACACAGTCACACATGAATAGTAGGCAACAACAGGACACCAAGTTTGATTAGAAAAAAAATATGCCATTAGTCATTGATAGCATTCGTTTGAAATACTCACACAGAAAGCTCCCTTCTTCCACCGATGACCTTTCAGCGTGCGGTAGAGCCTGCCAGCAAAGTATCCACCGAACACACTGGAAGAGAAAACCCAGTCATACTGATGCCTCTCCCACAGTTTACAGACAGAGGCCCAATCCCAAATGGACCCCTACGCCCTATGCCCCCTCCTTATGTCTCTGGCCCAATCCCAAATGGACCCCTACACCCTATGCGCCCTCCTTATGTCTCTGGCCCAATCCCAAATGGACCCCTACGCCCTATGCGCCCTCCTTATGTCTCTGGCCCAATCCCAAATGGACCCCTACGCCCTATTTACTTGTGGAGATTTGAGAGGATTTGTCAGGTGTAAGCAATATGGTAAATCGCTGCACCATGCCCTTTGATAGGCTTGGTGGAAGTTTCACCATATTGCTTATACTGATCAAATACTCTCAGATCTCCACAAGTGCATAGGGTGTAGGGGTCCATTTGGGATTGGGCCAGAGACATAAGGAGGGCGCATAGGGTGTAGGGGTCCATTTGGGATTGGGCCAGAGACATAAGGAGGGTGCATAGGGTGTAGGGGTCCATTTGGGATTGGGCCAGAGACATAAGGAGGGCGCATAGGGTGTAGGGGTCCATTTGGGATTGGGCCAGAGACATAAGGAGGGTGACTCTCTCTCGTCTTACCCCATGAACATGAACAGGAAGCAGGAAGTGGTCATCAGCGCCCCTCTACTGGAAGGAGACAGCATCCCCAACATGGCCACGACTACAGGACAGACAAACACAGCAGCTTCAGCCCCATGTCACAGTGACACAATACCACGCTTTCATCTCCAGCTGTGGTGGACGGACCATATCCAAAGATTACAATTCCTTTCGATGAAAATGGCAGAGTGCTTTTGAAACGAGGTTCTAGAAGTCTGTTTACGGCACACTCACAGATAACGATGAGGATCATGCAGAAGAGCTGTATGCCTGAGCCCAGCAGAGAGCTGAGGATCATGGGATACTGTGGAGGTCTGAACACGTCACCATGGACATTCTTCCAGCCTGACTCCTCCATGGTGTCCTCCTAGCGAAGATTGGCATTAGTCAAGATATTTTACAGACACACTACCCACATGAATTCACACAACATGAAGAAGCAAATACTCTTCTTTAGAGGGTGAACACATGCCACATTTTAAATCCTAATCTCTTCAGTCACACTTATGTAAATGAGACTCTCCCTCCAGCTGCAGCCACACACACACACAAAGTGCTGTCAAATGCCAAAGCCACGTCATATTTAGCAGAGTAAGTGGGGTCTCTTACTATGTCATCCTCTCTGTTGTAGTTGGCGATGTCCTTCCTCAAGGTCCTGATGATGATCATACTGAGGATGCCGGAGAGGAAGAAGACCACCACCACTGAGTTGACGATGGAGAACCAGTGGATCTGCACGTCACTCATGGTCAGGTAGGTGTCCCAGCGGGATGCCCACTTCACCTGGCTCTCCTACCGGGGGAGAGACAAACAGGGGGTCAAGTCGGGCCATTTATATTTCTTTAGGCAGAGTCCCAATGAGACCAAGGTCTCTTTGTCTCAAGAACCTTGCATTAGAAGACAAGCTATTACAAAATCGAGGCAGGAGCCTAGCAAACAAAGAAAATTATACCAAAAAACATCTTAAATAACCACATTCCTCAGTGAAGAGGTCCTCTATCAACAATGTACCAGCCAAGTCAAGTCCCATTCTATTTAAAGTGCATCCCAACACTTTACAGAGAACAACTCTAAATCTTTGATGTGAACATGAAGAGAAGGTCCGTGACACTTACCTCCCAGCGGACGGAGTAGGTGAAGAGAACCTCATTCTCCTTGGAGGGGTCAATCTCCTGAGGAGCGGAGTTAGTGGCCTCAGGCAGGGTACACGCCCCCTTATCATCAGCCTTCAGGTCTGCAGAGGGATCCAGACAGACAATTAACAAATAGGAGGAGAAGGATTGAAACGCACTGTATTTTCTAACGCTTGTCACTGTGTTTATTGGGCTGGAATGAACCGTTTCTACCTCGGACAGGACAGGGCGCTGTGTAACTGGGGAACCACCTCAACTTACCCTCCACCTTGACACTCTGGGGAACCACCTCAAAACGTACAACTCTGTAGTTGTGCTCCTCCTCCTCCTCCACCTTCTCCTTGTGGTAGTAGATGATGAAGGACAGGTGGTTGTGTAGGTAGAACTATAGTAGAGAGAGACAACAGAATGTAGGACAGGTGGTTGTGTAGGTAGAACTATAGTAGAGAGAGACAACAGAATGTAGGACAGGTAGATGTGTAGGTAGAACTATAGTAGAGAGAGACAACAGAATGTAGGACAGGTGGTTGTGTAGGTAGAACTATAGTAGAGAGAGACAACAGAATGTAGGACAGGTAGATGTGTAGGTAGAACTATAGTAGAGAGAGACAACAGAATGTAGGACAGGTAGATGTGTAGGTAGAACTATAGTAGAGAGAGACAACAGAATTTAGGACAGGTAGATGTGTAGGTAGAACTATAGTAGAGAGAGACAACAGAATGTAGGACAGGTAGATGTGTAGGTAGAACTATAGTAGAGAGAGACAACAGAATGTAGGACAGGTAGATGTGTAGGTAGAACTATAGTAGAGAGAGACAACAGAATGTAGGACAGGTAGATGTGTAGGTAGAACTATAGTAGAGAGAGACAACAGAATTTAGGACAGGTAGATGTGTAGGTAGAACTATAGTAGAGAGAGACAACAGAATGTAGGACAGGTAGATGTGTAGGTAGAACTATAGTAGAGAGAGACAACAGAATGTAGGACAGGTAGATGTGTAGGTAGAACTATAGTAGAGAGAGACAACAGAATGTAGGACAGGTAGATGTGTAGGTAGAACTATAGTAGAGAGAGACAACAGAATGCAAAGGTTCATACCTTAAAGATAACTCTACAGGACAACAAGAGCTGTTATATAATAGACACAAGAGTCAGAGTTCCCACTCCCCTAATCTCATACGGATGTGTCCATACTCTCTCTCCATGCTTTAGCTAGGCCCTGGTAAGGAGGTTCTGTACCTTGCCGTTGTCAGTGAAGCCCAGTCTGTAGCCATGTTCAAACTGAACACCCTTCACCACATCCTTCTCCTCCTCAGCCCCTGCCTCTCTGTTGGGGTAGAACTCCAGCCGAGTGGCCACTGGGAGGTTGTCTGCAATGCTGACGGAGTTTATAGGGAGGATTAACATGGAGCCTATAGCAGCATTTTACCTGATTCATGTTACCTGATTAATGGAGAGAGAGAGAGAGAGAGAGAGTAATGAGGAAAGGAAGGAGGGCACTCACAGGTGAACATAGTACTCCTCCAGGATGCGCTCAGCCACCAGCTTGCTCTGCTGCACGCTGAGTTTCAGCTTGGCACAAACCACCTCACACTTCCTGTCCTGGGTCATGAGAACCGAGTAGGGGGTGTTGACAATACGGTCCCCGCGTAGCACCTCCCCTGCACACACACACAGTGAATGACAATGTTAGTATGAGTTCCTGGTGTGTGCCTTTAGGTGCAACAGCTTATTATGAATCACATACAAAGACAACACAAATCAATGCATTACAACACAGTACACAAGGAAACACTGTAAACCTTCCAAACAACGACAAGACGCATAGAACAACACTTCTGCATGAGAGGAGAGCAGAGGGAGTGGCTTCCTTACCCAGGTTCTCTGCTTTGTAGACCACTTTATCAGGCTGACAGAAGGGCAGGGAATAGTATTCATAGGGAAGCTGTGTCCGGGAGCTGGTCAGCTTCACGGCCTGGGGGAAATCAATGTGCCCATTCATTTGAGTGACTGACTGACCTGCTAACCGTATGCCAACAGGCTACACAAACAATACTAGTATCCACCTCAGCCTGCCTTGGAAAACCTTGGAGCTAACAAGCTTTTGTCCATCTATCAAGCTTAGGCTTTAACACAGTTCAATCATACCCAGAAAACTAAACAATGCTAACTTAGTAAATCCACAAAGAGCCAAGGCATGGCACACAGCCAAAAGAGTTGAGTATTAGATACCCGATTAAGCAGAAGAGGGCTAGAACTAAGCCAAAGGTATGGTTGTTTAGCTTACCTTAATCTCTACAGCACTGTTCTGGTGGAAGTTCATTGGAGCAACTCCAGGCACGTAAAAGGGCTGGACCCTTCCGGGCAACATGGACAACAGCAGAAGGGCCAACCACGTCTCCTTCAACACAAACACAACCAACAATCAATGGACTAGTTGGGTCAATCTATAAAAAGCCCCTTTTGGATTTGAACAAAATGTTTGCCTCTGGCAGAAGAGGTCAGAAAGTGACTTTTTGGACCTGAATACCAAAGCATTCAGTAGATAGGGTTGCTCAAAGTTCACTCATTTGAATTCAAATTGAAACGACCCTGTCGCCACATACCCACTTTAGACATTCAGAAATCAATGGAAAGTGGAGATTCCTTTGGGGTATGTAAAGGTGAGACTCATGTTTCACCCTGAGAGAGAGAGAGGGGCCATGATGGTAATCAAATCCAAATTTAGTAGCCTTCTTGGCACACACAGTACAATCCAAGATGGCTTGATGACTTAGACAACACCTTGAGACACTGTACTTTTATCTAACCAGTCACAAAGGACAGACTGCATGTCTATACAACCCAATGATTGTATAGGAACACCCCTAACATTTGAACAGGATCATGTAGAATATTTACTGTATGCTTAAGGGTGTTATATTAACAAAATTGCATGTCAAATATTAGAACAATAGATCATTTTACAGAGTGAGAGATAGGCTATCACCCTTTCACTTACAGAGAGAACACACAATTTAGCGAGCCCTTCCACTAAACTAATGTCACACCAGTCGAGCTTGATTTTCCTTTCCTGTGTGGAGTGCTTGCTTACACAACCACTTGCCATTAAGGTATAACCAAAACCATACCATACATATTGCATTGTTCTGGGGATGGGTCTGGAAGGGGGGGGGGGGGGGGGGGGGGGGGGGGGGGGCAGTGTCTGACAGACCTTAACACAGTGAAACATTAACACAGTGAAAAGAGGGACAGTGTCTGACAGACCAACCAACCTGCACATGTCCTCTATATTGTTATTGTTCAATGGTTATTTTGACCCTTGGTTATTGTTGTTACTGTTGTCCCGTTGACAATATTGATTATTATTATTTTAATTATGTTAATATTGTAAATATCCAAAGTAAGCTTGGGCAATATGTACATTGTTACGTCAATTGAATTGAAAAGGTACATGTTGATGATGAATACAACAGCAGCCCAATGTATCATATCAATCTCGTCTCAAATGAATAATGAGTTATCTACCTCTGTATACAAATGAGTGCATGAAAACATCTCCACACTGATAATAGCTAGCGGTTATATAAAATAGATGGTTGAGACATGTCGACTAAGCAACTGCAGCTAGATAGTTAACTGTTACTCCAAGAAAGGAGATGATTTGGTTAAGATTATAGATAGCTACTCAAAAAAAAAAAAGGAGATTGCTAGATCATCTTTGGTTAAGCTTATAGAATACATAAATCAACCCGGAAATGCATAGCTAGCTAGTTGCCAGCCACATACTAGTTAGCGAGCGTTAGCTAACATTAACCATCTAGCTAGCGTTACCTAGTTAAACTGGCCCCTTTTGTCTGTGCTCTTGTCCTCGAACTAGTTAGTTAACACATAAAAACGAGTTAGCAAGCTACCTATGCTTCGCATTACCAGTACAACATTTAGCAAGCGTATAACTTTACGTAGCTAATGTTAGATAAAGATGATTGAGTAAACTAACGTCATCTAGCTAGTAGGCAAGTTAGAGAACGATAGTTGTGTGTTGTTGGCTGGCCAGCTAACGTTAGCCTAGCTACGCCAAAAGGGCTACGCTGTCACAATGAATGAGATAACTAGCTTCATTCAATTAGCAGTCGAGCTGTAATTGAAATAGATATCATTTTTTTTATCCACATACAGAGTAAGAACTAGGTAACTAGCTAGTTAGGCACATTATTTTATTGTTTTGCTAAGCTGACATCTAACTAGTTAGCAACAGCTGACATTAGAGACAAGTTGTCTTGGCTGGCTAGCGTCGTCAACATCTCCTGCCTGCTGCACCATTGACAAACCAATGTAGAAAGACAGCGCTTATTAATGCCGTTAAATCATTACTTTAAATGTCACTTGATACAGTAGAGTCGTATATTAATATTAACACAACTACATGCTTCTAGTTGAAGGTAGACAGTGATAGCGGACAGATGTTTGGAGAACAAGAGTTTCTTCGTGCCCACTTACCATCGCCGCGGTCGCCATCTTGAATACACGTGTCATTCGTAATGTCACGTGAAGAAACTGGTACCTCATCCATATTCAACAGCAAAATGTGTTAGTGCCAGCTAGTCAGTTAGTGTTCTTGTTCTTGTTCTGTGGGTTTGATGGCGGACTACAACCCAAAAAGGTGTATTGCCGCCACGAACTGAACAGGTTGAAACCAAAACAAGGTAAAAAGAAAATCCATATGTAATAGGGAAAATAACTTAATGCACCCAAATAAAAAGTGTACATTGACAAAACAAAACTCCCACTTTTTCCTTCTTTAAAATCTCCAAGCTCTAGGGCCTGAGAGGGTGGTGCGGCTTGTGACAATATTCCATGTAACGCCTTTGTAATCTTTCAGCCCCAGGAACCGCTCTGCCACATCCACAATGATTTATATCTTCCTGGACCTTCTCTCCACCTTGGCAGTGCCATTAATCACCATAGCTATAAAGGCCACAAAGTCCACCTACTTAACCTTTAAAATGTCAGGATCCTGCTGGTGAAAGGCAACCCCTGCAGCCTGCAGTGAAGGCCTATCCACCACCATGGACTCTTCAGGTGCCACCGACATGGCCCGCTACCAAGGACTGTGGGCTCTCCTTCTCCGTGGCCGACGTGAGTAAGACATTTAAGCGTGTTAACCCTCGCAAGGCTGCCAGCCCAGACGGCATCCCTAGCCGCGTCATCAAGCATGCGCTGGAGTGTTTACGGACATATTCAATCTCTCCCTATCCCAGTCTGCTGTCCCCACTTGCTTCAAGATGTCAACCATTGTTACTGTACCCAAGAAAGCAAAGGTAACTCAACTAAATGACTATCTCCCCGTAGCTCTCACTTCTGTCATAATGAAGTGCTTTGAGAGGCTAGTTAAGGATCATATCACCTCTACCTTACCTGAGACCCTAGACCCACTTAAATTTGCTTACCGCCCCAATAGATCCACAGACGATGCAATAATAATAATAATATGCCATTTAGCAGACGCTTTTATCCAAAGCGACTTACAGTCATGCGTGCATAATTTTTTTTGTGTATGGGTGGTCCCGGGGATCGAACCCACTACCTTGGCGTTACAAGCGCCGTGCTCTACCAGCTGAGCTACAGAGGACCACTCAATCGCCATCGCACTGCACACTGCCCTATCCCATCTGGACAAAAGGAATACCTATGTAAGAATGCTGTTCATTGACTATAGCTCAGCATTCAACACCATAGTACCCTCCAAGCTCATCATTAAGCTTGGGGCCCTGGGTCTGAACCCCGCCCTGTGCAACTGGGTCCTGGACTTCCTGACGGGCCGCCCCCAGGTGGTGAAGATAGGAAACAACACCTCCACTTCGCTGATCCTCAACACAGGGGCCCCACAAGCGTGCGTGCTCAGCCCCCTCCTGTACTCTCTGTTATCCCATGACTGCGTGGTCACACACGCCTCCAACTCAATCATCAAGTTTGCAGACGACTCAACAGTAGTAGGCTTGATTACCAACAATGACGGGACTACCTACAGAGAGGAGGTGAAGGCCCTGGGAGTGTGGTGCCAGGAAAATAACCTCTCCCACAATGTCGACAAAACAAAGGAGCTGATCGTGGACTTCAGGAAACAGCAGAGGGAGCACGCCCCCCTCCACATCGACGGGACCACTGTGGAGCAGTTGGAAAGCTTCAAGTTCCTCAGCGTACACATCACTGACGGTCTGAAATGGTCCACCCACACAGACAGTGTGGTGAAGAAGGCGCAACAGCACCTAAAACCCTCACAAACTTTTAGAGATGCACAATTTAGAGCATCCTGTCGGGCTGTATCACCGCCTGGTACGGTAACTGCACCGCCCGCAACCGCAGGGCTCTTCAGAGGGTGGTGCGGTCTGCCCAACGCATCACCGGGGGCAAACTACCTGCCCTCCAGGACACCTACAGCACCCGATGTCACAGGAAGGCCAAAAAGATAATCAAGGACAACAACCACCCGAGCCACTGCTTGTTCACCCCGCTATCATCCAGAAGGCGAGGTCAGTACAGGTGCATCAAAGCTGGGACCGAGAGTCTGAAAAACAGCTTCTATCTCAAGGCCATCAGACTGTTAAATAGCCATCACTAGGAGGCGTCCACCCGGTTATGTAACCCTGCACCTTAGAGGCTGCTGCCCCATATACATAGACTTGAAATCACTTGCCACTTTAATAATGGAACACTAGCCACTCTAATAATGTTTACATATTTTTGCTTTACTCATCTCATATGTGTATACTGTATTCTATTCTACTGTATTTTAGTCTATGCCACTCCGACATTGCTCATTCTAATATTTCTATATTCCTTAATTCCATTATTTTACTTTTAGATTGTGTGTATTGTTGTGAATTGTTAGATATACTGCACTGTTGGAGCTAGAAACAAGCATTTCGCTACACCCGCAACAACATCTGCTAAACATGCGTATGTGACAAATAAAATGTGTTTTGATTTGATTTGCACCATTCAAACCCTCAACCCTTTTAACAGCTGCTGCATATGAAATGCTCTGGACAGCCCTGACTTTGGCCACCTCATTCTCTTTCACCCTTGTTGGACATTCCAAAGACGTGGCTTCATGGTTCCCACCACAATTACAACATGTCACATTTTCATCACTTTAATAACACATGATATGATCTTTTCCACAACTTGGACATATCGGCTTCTCCCTTCTGCAAACACTTGAAACATGACCAAAAGCTTTACAATGATCACACTGCATTGGTCTTGGGATAGATGCTCTGACTCTGTAGTTAATATACCCTAACTGCACTTGAGTAGGGAGAGACTCCATATCAAAAAACCAAAGAACAGATAGACTCTTCACTTTTT